GATTTCCTGCGAAACAAAGCAAAAAGGAGCATATGTCTATAGGACTTTTTTTCTTAGTTTTTTACTCCTCTACACGCTCCCGAAGTTTTGCCATTTAATTTGGAAACACCCTGTATAAGATGACCATGTATAAGATGCATTCCGTTTTGCGTTTATAGCACTTATAAGCATTATTTGTCCTCGTTTTATTTGTCCTTACATAATTTGATAGACAATAAGAATGAATTGATACTTACAGGATGTAAATGTAAAACAGATCGTATCCACAGTAAGATAAAGCTCTAGCAACCTACAGATCTTTTAGCATCCTAAAACAAGGGGGTAATCATTAGCTGAAATATTGTCCCACAGATTACATGATTTCATATGATTTTATCTGTTTACAAATAATTTTTTTCACTACATATGAAATAATTTGGTAAAATATACGATTTTATTTAATACTATACAATGATTTTTTGTGGTTGCGTATGTAATTATCGGATAATACATAGAGATTTCATATGAATTTTATAATGATTTCGAGGACTCTGTCCCACGATTACATTAAGTGGTTACCTCCTCATCCTAAAACCTTTTCAAAAAAATGTGATTAATGATTTCTGTAATTTTAATTTGAAATGTTTTTAAAAACATTGTATATAGTTATAACAATAATAATTATAATTGTATATAGTTATAACAATAATAAGTAATTGTATATAGTTCACTATTCATTTATGCTGTTGAGTCAATGACGTTAATCTATTCTTCGATATTTTTAATAAAATTAACAGCTTTTATTCAATTAATTTAAGAATCCAAAATTTTACATCGCATATAGCAACTAAGATTTTGACATATTTATACATATTATATGGATAAAACTGTTCTAGAGCTCCAAAAAGGATGTTTTTATTTATGATATACAGTCTGTTTAATATAATCGTGACTGATATAACTTTATTAAGTTAACTTTATTAAATATTATTAAACTATTAATAAAAAAATGTAAAAATTACATATGTAGTACATAATCAGTATTATAATACTTTTAAACTATAATAAGTCAACCAATCATTGCTATTGTCAATTATTGTCGACATCTTACAGTGTAGTCTGTCTAATAAGAGTTAAATTGTGGAAATTGTTACTTCATACTTTTAAACGAGTAAATAGAGAGAAGGAGTTTCCTCTACAACACATTATACACAGTTTTAGTCATTATACACAGAGTCTTAGTCATTGTCCGACTTTTGCTAGAGAACGATATATTTAACAATGAATTCTGTATATGCTAAAAAATTTGAAGCCTTTGAACGTATCTTAAAGAATCGAAAATATTGTCTGAAGCAACTGCTAAGAATATAACTATTGAGATTATAATATAAAACTTTAAAATACATATGTGTGTATTTGCTTTGGCTAACGTTCTTCCAATTTTTAAGAAAAAAAATGTTCTAATTTATATTTTTACTTCATTTTTTAATTTATAAATTTACTCCAAAATTATTGCAGTACTAAGAAAAAGAAAAAAATTAAACAAAAATTGTTAGATTACATAAAAAACAATATGAAGTGATATTGTATACGGCGAAATTTCATTGATATACGTGCTTTCCATTCTTACGAAAACGAAAGACATTATGATTCCAAATTGAGAGGATTCACCACGTTTATGCCACGTGTACTGAATAGGATCGGGGCGATGCGATGGTGGTAGCGCGACAGTGAAAGAAGAACTTTCTTCGCAACCATAAAGACCGGCTAGCTCTCGGTCGATCAGTTCAACTTCTTTGTGGAGCTATGGTGAAAGCGTGCACGAGCAACGGTGATCTTTGACGAAACCAGAATCCACAGCTTCTCTGTAAAACCCGAAAAGAACGGTGTCGCTGAACGAAATCGTGGCCGAATGTTCGTACGGACTCAATATAATGCATGTCGGTCGTGGAATTCAGCAAAAAACGTGGTGTGCGGTGTTACATCGATGAAAGCAAGAACGCATCCGTGATTCAGAACGACATTTGTGTATTTCGTGAATGACAAATGGGAAAATGCCTTTACGCGTGTTTAGTAGCAAACTCTCGATCTTAATCTTAATTATGACATTTTTTATATCGGTATCAATTGAAGGCTATAGACTTCGTCGAGAACTTATAATGGCTCCAATTGCTTCTACTGTAAGTATATTGATTCGATTGAGATAATAAAATAAATTAGCTTAGCTCTCAACAAAATGAAAGAATATTGAAACTTTTCATATAAAATTTAAACTATTAAATAGAACATGATATATAATAATTTTATATTACTATAATTTTTTGTAACAAATGTTTACAAATGTTAACAAATATGTAATACAACTTTTTTAAAGAATTCTTATGTAATCGGCGACAGTATTATAAAGACAATTCTTCTTTTATTATTAATATTAATTATTTTATTGTTAATATAATTATTATGACCCATACAGTACACTTTATCCAAAAAACATTCTGGGAACATCCTTAGGGTGTTTAAAGGACATAGAGACTTCCTATGGATGTCTTTAAGAAGTCCCTTGAAGATCTATGCCGTATAGGAATTGATAATAATTCATAAATTATTTTAAATAATGCTCTCTTAATTTCAGAATTTAACGCTTTTATTTAACTTTTTATTTCCTGACATTACTTAGCATACCACGTTATGTTATTCAATTTAAACAGATAAAAGATGTTTTAGATTTTAGATAATGATTGTAATCAGTCAAACATCATTAAAAGATTCATGTAAATATTACGTGCACGCAACTCTTAGCTCATAAGATATTTAGTTAGTATTGAAGATAATTTGACAGCTTAGGCCTTGACCTATTATTCAGATCATGGTTACTTTCTCTCATCGTTTATGTTGTATTTGCAATAGAAAGTGAGCGCGTATTTGAATGGCACCAGTTAATTACACATTTCTTTCAGGAAATTTCTTTGAATAATTCTCGAATTCGTATCGGAAAATTTTTATTCGATGAAATATTTGGTATTGATATTATTGATAATACTGAAACAGATGAAGAAAGGCTAAGAAACTGCACGTGTGGTAAGAATGTCTTTCACAAATTAAATTTGTCCCGAATCATAATTACTTTATTAAATCCTTTTAAAAAATATTGAAAGGTATTAAAATTTGTTAATATATAATTTACGATTAAATTATTACATATGTTATCTACTATTCTTTTTTTGCTATAGAAGATTATTAGAAGTAATAAATAATTTGTTTATTTAAATTTAATATTTTTAAACATTAAAAGAATTTAAATTTTGATATTGGTCTCAGAATGCGGTTTAGCTAATCAAGAGAATCGAATAGTGGGTGGACGTCCTACGCTACCGAATAGGTATCCCTGGATTGCAAGGCTAGTGTATGATGGTCGTTTCCACTGTGGTGCTAGTCTGCTCAATAACGATTATGTAATTACCGCTGCTCATTGTGTACGGAAGTATGTCTTTATCTAATAAGTTTATAAATAAATAAAACCAAAACGCAAATAATAACAATAATATAAATGTAATAAAGTTAATAGATATAGTATCACAAAATTATTAAGAATGACATTGTGTCATAATTATTATGAATGTTAATGAGTAAGTATCTTTTCTGAGAAATTCTGATATAACATAATCTTTAATATTTATAAAAGTATGAATATGTGCTTTACTTATATTTTGATTCTATTTAACATATTATTGTAATTAAATTAATGCTTTTATTTTTTTTAAGTTTAAAACGATCGAAAATTCGAGTAGTACTCGGTGATTACGATCAATACGTAAATACTGATGGAACTCCTGTTATGAGAGCAGTGAGTGTTGTAATACGTCATAGAAATTTTGATATGAACTCCTACAATCACGACGTAGCTTTATTAAAATTACGCAAGTCCGTGAAATTTTCGAAAAAGATTCGACCAATCTGTTTACCTCAACCAGGTAACATATACATTGAACTGAATCAATCATGTGTGTATGATCTGTTTTAAAATATTAAATATTGTATTTTTAATATGTTAATGCAGGAACCGATCCTGCTGGAAAAGAAGGGACAGTAGTAGGATGGGGTCGTACTTCGGAAGGAGGCATGCTGCCTGGAAAAGTGCAGGAGGTGCAAGTCCCTATACATAGCTTGACGCAATGTCGAAAAATGAAATATCGAGCAAATCGAATTACCGAAAATATGATTTGCGCCGGCCGAAGTAACCAGGATTCTTGTCAAGGAGACAGTGGTGGTCCTCTTCTTGTTCAAGAAGCCGATAAGCTTGAAATAGCAGGTAAAACGTTTATATTTCATTACAATAATATATTATATATAATTTTTGACAGTATTTGATGACAAATGCTGCTTCCAGAGAAAAAAAATTTGTACGAAAAAGTACAAAAAAACTACATAAATTGAGAGTGATGTTGTTTGAAAAAAAAAAGCGAAGGATTTCTTGGTTTTTCAAACAAACAATACCACTTTACATCCACTACGAACATCTATGAAAAACTAAGAATTTTTAAAATCTTGTTTCAATCTATGTAGTTTTTCGTAAAAGTATTTTCGTTAAATGATTAATGTTCCTTTATTATTTGAGCAAGCATGTTGCGTAAAGCAAATATCTTCAGACAGCTTTATTTATATTTACGCAAATGTAAAAATCCGCAGAAATTATCTCAATCAGCAGACAATATTTTTTAAATGATTTTCAAATATATATTTTATTATAATAATTCATTCGAAATAATGATTTTTAAATATTTATTAAACGTTTATTTAATATTTATGTTACATTAATAATTCGTCTATAATAATGATTTGAAAAAATATTTTTTTAACGTTTTTTATATATATTCAATATTGATTTAATATTCATATTACATTTATAATTCATTTGTAATAACAATTTGAAAAAAAGTTTTTTTAACATTGAATATTTTGCAAGTAGTATCAGACATCATCGCTAGATGGACACTGTTTTTTTTTTTCTTGTAAGTAAGAAACCATACAAAATAAAATAAAAGGTGCAACAATATAAGATTTCTCATCCATGTTCTGATGAAATGTTAATGAAATAACCTTAAAATCAAGCCCAAAATTGGGTCTAAGATGGAAATTGAAGTATTTTCTTATAGTTCTCACATCTTTCAATAGACAATTTCTTTAAATGTTTTTACAAATATTTTAAAAACGTTGTTTGCTGATTGTAAAGATCTGTTTTAAACTTTGGTAAAATGTTTTTCAAACGTAAGGAATGTCCTTTCATACGTTAAAATAAATGTTTTTTTTTTTAAATAAAAAAAGATGACTAAACCCATTATTCTTATCGTTTCTAAAAACTTTTTAAAAAATATTTCTTAAACATGTTTTTTAAAAATGTTTTTTAAAATTTTAAAATAAACATTTTTCAAACGTTAAGGAAATATTGTTTTAAACGTTAAAATAAACGTTTCTCTTTAAAAAAAGATGACTTAACGCATTATTTTTAACGTTTTTAAAAATGTTTAAAAACATTTGAAAAACGTTTTTAAAAATATTTTTAACATCATTCATTGCTGATTGGGATCTTACTATTGGAACTTTTTTGTTCATGTGGGACTTATGTGTGTGTTAAATGTATCTAATAGGTATAGTGTCTTGGGGTGTGGGATGTGGTAGACCAGGTTATCCCGGAGTTTACACGAGAGTAACTCGATATCTCAAATGGATCCATACAAACATGAAGGAAGGCTGTCTGTGTGTCACTTGAGGACCTGCTTTCACCTCCGACTTGTACATAAAATTTCACATGCAACGATTGTAATTAATCACTGCAATAAGCACGTTATATATTATTATTCTTGAATGACTTATTTGGGGGAACTGAGTACAATTTTTTATTAAATACTGACTTATCAAATATAGTTCCTTGTATAGAGGCCATTATTGTTATTCATTAGTTATTACTTATGTACATGTATATAAATGTAAAGGATATATTTTTTGTAGAAAATTTAATTTAAGTAAGATTTAGAGCACATGCTTAGCTCGCTTCACGCGTTTCTATCATACGAATAGCGGTCAAACGTTTCCGGAATAATTAGCAACAAATAACGGTTCACTGTCAAACCGGGCTAAAGTTGACTCATCTAAATGCACTTCACGTGCAATGTATCTTTGTATGCGCAACTAGTAATTTGTACATAATAGAAGATAGTGTAATTTATGTTAATCCAAATTACTGATATTGCCTGTTACGTGTACATAATACGTATGTATGCATGTGTATTATAAAATAATATGTGTAAACTTGCAAAATACTAAGAATGTGTTAACAAATACAAAATGTACTTAAAACAATCGTTGCATATTTTGTTATTATATAAAAATAATTAAAATTGTATATGAATAAAAAAAAATCTTATCTATATTATGCTTTATAAAATTTAGTTTCTAATATAATTGTTATTTAATTGTTATTTATTATTACATTGTACCTGTATGTATGACACTAAATAAATCTTAACATATACATATGTCACTTTATTCTTAAAATTAGAATAAAATTAGAATATAATACATATATAATTCTTAAGATTACAATATAATAGACGTATTGTTTTTGTCTCAGCATGACTAACAATATGACAATACATAATTTTATAATATTAGTAATAAAGAAAGAGAACACGAAACGTATGATACTACACTCTTCCTAAAATTAAATTTTTATATTCTTCGTAGAAATATAAATAGATAGTTAATAATAACGATGACAAAGTTGCTAAACCTGATCCCTCAACCGAAGCTAGTTCGAAGAAATAATATTATATTAATGCGATAGCAATCAGAAAAACTTTATTATAAATTCTCATCGAAAATAAAAATTACAAGATTTAATGGATATACTAACAAGACTACTTTTCTTCTTCCAAAACTGGTCGACGAGATATTCATTAATACAAATTGTTCGTAAAATGTGCCTGCCAAACAGTGCCAGATGATGCACCAAATATGTATGCGCATATAATAAAACGAGTACTTGTGTATAACGTTCTCTTTCTGTACTTTCTTTTATTTCATTATGCATTCGCACGATAATATGTTAGAACGCATTGTGAAATTATAAAGATGCTTCAATTAAATTTAAATAAAAGTAATTTTTTTAAGAAGTTATTTATAGAATGTATTATACATTCTTATTTTAATATATTCTTTCTGAACATACTATCTACTAAAAAATCTACTAAAAATTCTTGAAAAAAAAGAGCTTTTGTATATATAATTAATATAAATGTTTTAATATTAACTTTTCCTTATCACAAATGTTTTACAAAACGTTCTTTTACCAATATACCTAAAGATTAACGAGATAATTGAAAGTAAAAGTAACGTTACTACTTTTCTATGTTATCTTTCTAAGTTATCTTATAAAATAATTAATGAACTATTTCAAGCGCTAACACCAAATAAAAATGGAAAGATATTATTTTTGCATTTTTATTGATACAAAAATTTATGTAGATGCAAATAACAATATCGAAACAACTCTGCGTAATGGGTATAATAATTTCTCGTCGTGGCCCTGATGACGGTCAATAACAGTCATCCGTGATTCGACCCTGAACATGAACGTGAACTGGTCAGGTACCGGCCGGCTGGCTGTGCCCGCCTTCCCTTCCGGAATAGCAATTACTTCTTCGACCTCTCAGTCCTCCAGTCGGCGTAGGACGCCAGTGATAGTCGTTCTCAGTCAGGGACATGTCCATGACTCGTTCTTGACGGTGCCCGTGTGGCAACTCTTTCACTCATATATCTACAAAAACCTAATTAAAGTTGTAAGTGCATAATTATCGGTGCAATAAGTTACTTAATCAAGTCGCAGAATATGAAGCCTTTGTGTTTCTTAATTTTATTATTCATTTTGTTTTTGGCAACAAAAAAGTGTCAGGTAAGAATTGCATTTATACAATTGATTTCTTTACATGGTATACTGCTATGTGTATATGTTTCTTAAAAAATCATTAAAATATTTTTTGAGATGTATGTTTGAATTTTTTAGTTCTTATAACGTAATTTTAATTTTAGTATATTTAATTTTAATATAAAACACAAAAGTAGAGTAAATTTAGGTGTCAATTTAGAAGTTATTGACAAAACAATTACTATTAAGAGGTATATTTAACAAAATATAAACATATAATTTAAATCGTTTTAACAACTTATCAAAGTAAAAGAAAATTGTACGCGACAAAAAAATTACAAGAATAACTTTTCTCAAAGTTATAATAATGCATTTTCAAATTTAAATTTATTTTTATTTATCTTTTTTTATAAGAATAATCTGTTATAATAAAATAGTTATGCATCTTATGCCTATCTATTTATATTTAAAATTTACAAATCAAATAAAATTATTAATTAATTTTTTTTTATAATAATTTTGATATATAAATATAATATAACAATAAATTTCTATACAGTACTTCAGACATCCTGGGAACGTAGGGACATTTTCTCGACGTCTTCAGAATGTCCTTTAAATGCCTGTGCTGTATGGAAAGCACATAGATCGTTAATTAATATAATTATTTTAATTTTAGGCCAAAATGTTTGATGAGAAGATAAAGAATTTCTTTGGAGTTTTTGGTAATAAGCCACCTTACTCTACTGAATCACCTGCGCCCTGCTACTGTAGTGCGTAATTCAATATCCATTTCTTGTTAAGTTTTACTTTTATTAAATACAATGTTGTGAAAAACAGCATAGAAAAAATTTAATATACCTCGATCGTTACAATCTAGGTTGTGGATTACGGAATGAAGAAAGTCGTATAGTTGGAGGTCAAACGACAAGTATGAATGAGTTTCCATGGATGGCTAGATTATCGTACCTAAACAAATTTTACTGTGGTGCTACACTTATAAACGATCGCTACGTTGTCACGGCCGCACATTGCGTGAAGGGGTAGGTATGATTTATAAATATTGTGCATCTAGTAGAATCAGAATTGATGTTAATATTAAAATTGGATCTTAATTCTAACTTTTATTTTCAAATTTTTTATAAAAATTTTTGTTAATATATTACTTTTTTTACTAAAACATATCTGCAACTTTAGCAGATTTCATTAATAATGTAACAGAAATAAAAAATTTAGCCAAAAGAAGTAATCAGTAATAATAATAATCACAAATCTTAACAAAAGGTACATCTAATTTGTTTTATTGCTATAAATAAAATTGGAAATGAATACTCAAAATATTTCTATAAATTAGATCTGTTTTCACAATATATGGTTACCTAAAGGGTTACCAAGAAATTAATGAATGAATTTCATTGATGAATCTCTTGGTAACCTTTAATTTTAAGGTAACTATATATTGTGAAAACAAGCCTCAAAATAACTGTATAAAATAACTACTAATCGTACTGTTAGCATCATCTAATCAACACGCAAACGGGTCAAACTTCATATTTGCATCCTTGATTAATGTCATGCTACAAGGAAAACTTTTAGTTCCGTTAGCTCCTCTATGTTGACATGAAGGATGGATAAATTATCTTGGTATTGACGATTATAACTTTTAGTTACCTGTAAATAGAGCAATGTGAAAAATCTGTCATCTTAAACTTGTTCACATATATTTATCTTAACAAAGTGAATAGCATAAATTATTATACATATAAACAGAAACATTATTTAAACATTGTTTAAAAAGTTTACTCATTCAATATACAATAAATATGAAAATAAGAAATTAATAATTAAAAGTAAGATTTTGAATTGTCTTTTGCTCAATTAATATAATTTATTGAATACATTATCTTCGATACACATTTTTCTTTAATAACATAATTTACAAATTATTTGTAAATTATGCACATAGAATTACAAATATTAGTAATGTAACAACTTTTTTAAAGAATCGATTAAAATATAATTGAAATTTCATATTACTAATACAGAAATTCTAAAACACATGATCGAGTCAATATACAAAGAAATTGAATTATTATTAAATATAATATATTAAATTGGAAGATATTTTTTGTAGAGTTCATTTATATTTTATTTAAAGTTACTCCATTGCAAACTTATTTGCCAGGCGAATGTGATCAGTTCTTCTAGTTTTATTTTCAGATTCATGTGGTTCATGATCAAAGTTACTTTCGGGGAGCACGACAGATGTATCGAGAAATCACCGGAAACCAGATATGTAGTGCGCGTTATGACTGGTGACTTCAGCTTCCTGAATTTTGAAAATGATATCGCATTGCTTCGTCTTAATGAAAGAGTGCCATTGAGCGATACAATACGGCCGATATGTTTACCGACAATGTTAGGTAAGTGCACTTTTCTTTTTTTTATGAAAGTATAATGAGATGATAATAATAATAATCTGATGAAAATATGTTTATAAAAATATCTAGCACCGACATATTTGATTACATTTTCCACTTTCTGTTATGAATTTGTCAGTCGCTCTTTGAAAGCCTTTAATAGTAGATGAATTTTGTCTTTTGCAATATGCCGCGTACGTATTCTAATAGTGAATATGCTGATATGGTTTTTGTATACGGTTTCTGCAACGGTAATGCTTTAAAGGCCTGGCTGCTACAAGAGCCGTGTTTGACAGATGCAATGCTTGTATTGCTGCAAGAGGTGCACATTTCGAACAAAATCTTCATTAAAAAGTTTATAAATAAAATAATTAAAATAATAAATTAAATATATTTTTTTCTTTTTTCGTGATTTCCTGCGAAACAAAGCAAAAAGGAGCATATGTCTATAGGACTTTTTTTCTTAGTTTTTTACTCCTCTACACGCTCTCGAAGTTTTGCCATTTAATTTGGAAACACCCTGTATAGATTATTATTATGCGAGTGTATTTACTTTCTCTTTCAAAGACACAATAAATAATAATAAGAATAATATTAAATGTACAATTTTTATCATAATTAAAATGATAATAACACATATATTGTAAAAATTAATTATAATAATAATAATGACAATATATTGAAATTTCTTCTTGATGTACCATGATATGTTTTATTAATTTTCTACGTTTGACAGATAAATTGTGATAATAAGTTTTTTTATTCAAGACACGCAGTTATTGTATAATTTTAATCTAATATGTCGAATGCATTATCGATATCTACTTTCAAGGTGTATTACAATTTCATGTTCAGACAATGTTACAATAGTATATTCACGATTAATTTTGGTCAGTGCATTTTTGTAAAACAATGCGAGCATAATATTGAATATATTAAGATCTGTGACTAGCAGTCATGTTTATTATGCGACGATTATGCAATAGAGAAGTCATAAATTAGTCAATATACGGGTACCTACTCTCAATTGAAATGTACTGTCGCGTCGCACAAATAACTGCGTAATAATGAAGATTTCTCTGAAATTGAGGACTTGAATTTGCATTTCGAATGCACGCAATCATCTTTTCTGAATTTGTTAACGCAGCATGACATGGTACACTTACCTGCCCTGTTTACCGGTATTAAAATGTATTTGCATTAATAATGTACATATAATATATTTGTACTCGAAAACTTCTTAACTTTCTTTTAGTGATTTTCGCTTTTTTTATTTTTTTTAGTAGAAAGTTGATTACTACTGAAATTCTTTTCATCAGATTTATGTTGATACGTCGTGATATCATTAAATATGTATATTTAAATTTGAACAAAATTATTTTTAAGAAATGATGAAAACAATGTTTTACTAATTCTTTCTATGTAATTAAATTCTATATAATAAAATTATTATTGCAATTAGTCGCTTTAAGTAATTATTTGTTATAATGCGTAATGCAGAATTATTTTTTAGATAACGAATATGTAGAAGCAAAAGCAATTGTGTCAGGTTGGGGTACATTGAAAGAGGATGGCAAACCTTCCTGCCTTCTCCAGGAAGTAGAAGTTCCAGTCATGAGTCTTCAGGCTTGTCGCAATACCAGCTACAGTGCCCGAATGATTTCAGAAAATATGCTATGCGCAGGTTATCTTGAAGGACAAAAAGACTCATGTCAGGTAATATTTACTTATTTGTATATATGTAAATTAAAAACAGAAAATTGTAACAATAAATAAAAGAATTTTGAAAAACATTCATTGTAAAACGTGTCTTACAATATACGTATATTAGTGTAATACATATTAAATATTAATATTAAATATTAATATGTGCAGTGCATATAACTATAACTTAAAATAGCTTATTTTATTACATACTGAATATTACTGGATTGGGTGCAAATAATAAGAAATCTTTTGTATTACAGGGAGATAGTGGTGGGCCTCTAATAACAGAACGAGAAGATAAAAAATACGAACTCATCGGTGTGGTGTCTTGGGGTAATGGATGCGCAAGACCTGGTTATCCAGGTGTATATACAAGAGTTACACAATATATGGATTGGATTTTGAAAAATTCAAAGGATGGCTGTTTCTGTGAGCATAATTGATTATGACTCAGCGATTGTTAATCATAAATATGATAAAAAGAGACAAATGACAAATGACTTTACGTACTATTGTATGTATAAGTTCTTTAAATTCTCGTGCTCTGTTCTCAGGATATATATGATATTTTTGTCATGATATTTTTTTATATAAGGAAATAGATAACGGACTCAAATAATTAAAATTAAAATAGATAAACAATAAAAGAACTACGAGCCAAGCTGGATGTTCGTTGCTAACTCAAAGCGAAGCCGAAATGTTCGTTTATACATTTTAATTTAAATATAAATTTATAGTTACGCACGGACAACTGCATTTCGATTCTCATTAGCCCAATCATTTATTGTTTTGTTTGTAAAACTGAGAGTCCATAATTCTTTATTTTCTAACTGATTAAATTTAATCTTTAAATAATAAACACAAACAGTTTCGACCCCTTATCGGGTCATTCTCAATGTGACAGATAATTACAAAATAATTCGTTAAAAAAATTTTTCCGTCCGCTTTTTACAATTATTAAAAAAATTATTAATATAACGCATGTTGATACTCGCGTAACTTAAAATAAGGAAATAGATAACGGGATCAGATAATTAAAATTAAAATTGATAAACAATAAAAGGTCTGTGAGCCAGATTGGATATTTGTTGCTAACTAATCAAATTTAATCATTAAATAATAAACACAAACAGTTTCGACCAGTTATCGGGGTCATTCTCAATGTGACAGATAATTACAAAATTTTGTTTAATAAACTATTTTGTAATTATCTGTAATTATCTGTGTGCAACGAATATCCAATATGGGGCTTATAGATCTTTTATTGTTTATCAATTTTAATTTTAATTATCTGATCCCGTTATCTATTTCCTTATTTTAAGTTACGCGAGTATCAACATGCGTTATATTAATAATTTTTTTAATAATTGTAAAAAGCGGACAGAAAAATTTTTTTAACCAATTATTTTGTAATTGAGAATGACTCGATAGCGGGTCGAATCTGTTTGTGTTTATTATTTAATGATTAAATTTAATTAGTTAGCAACGAACAGCTTGACTCGAAGCCCTTTTATTGTTTATCTATTTTTTAAAAATAATTTATATATTTAGCAGAGATTTAGAGTGATATACCAGATGTGAAATTGATGTGCTTAAATTGCTCAAAAAATATGAATTTTTGTATAATATTATTTTCAAGTTTTATCTATTAGATTTTTTTTATCTCTCTCTCTCTCTCTTTCTCTTTCTGTTTACATCGACTTAATGGCAGCAATAAATAAATAAATAGAGGCGATATTATGAAATTATTAATAGATATGATATGTCAGCATTTGTTATATTGTAACATATTTGCAAAAATAATATTATATTGTGCAATATTACCGTACAAGTTTTTTTACGATTGCTGAAATATAGCCAAAGGTTAAAATACTCTATTCTGTTGCCGAGGAAATTGACTATAGTGAGATTGAGATTAGATTTAAGCGCGCGCGCGCTACCGGTGTTATATCTTTTTATAGAAAATATTTTATTTTATTATAATACACGATACAAAAATGTAATAAATGTTTGCATTAATTAGCTTTAAATGCCGTTTAACACATTTTTTCAAATATAATTTAGATATAATTCATCTGAAAATTTATATTTCTATATTTTAAGTTTTGCATTATTATATTCTGTTAATTTTGGAAATTTTTTAAATAAATACAGAAAAAACATAAATTATTTTTAAAATTAAGATTGTGGTAATTTTTATGTTACGATATGCAACCATAAGAGATATATTCAACATATATATGTAATATATATTTTATATTAATAATTTTAAAGAAAAATTTAGTTTTACGTAATGCACATATCACAAAACAAATACGTATTTGGTATTTTTGACTTCTAACACATTCACAGTTTTTACAATATGTGCAAAAAAGACATTTTTTTACAGTATCAGCCATATACATCTGTAATAATAAACAACTACAAATTTTAATAAAAGCAGTACATAAAGCAGTACATGAAACATTGGTAAAAATTATTATATAAAAATGTGTAGATTTTATTATTTATTCTTTACTAAAAAATATATTCATAAATTCTCAAATATCAAAGATATCGAAGACATCAAACGAATTTCATTGATACATATATACATATGATATACATTGATTGCGATGCCGAGAACGTGTAACGGGATCGACAAACCGGTTAGTCATCTACTTTTCAGGCCAAAATAAAATAGAAAAAAAAAATAATAAATACAACGGTAGAATCAAGTACGAACTTCAGCGAAAACGTAAAACGTATGGGTTATATTCAGTTTACATTCTTGAGAATGTCCCAGGATGCGGGCGATGATAGTCCCGCTATACGACACAAACCAGTCATTTAAGTAAGACCAGTATCGCCTCGACTACCGACAGAAAAGTCATGAAGCTGCAGGACTATATTAAGTACCTCATTTGTATCTTGTTGGTGAATTTTGGAAACATTGACTGCAATGGACGCGTCATCGATGTTACTGTAAGCTTCTGCATATCAATTTTGCCGTGGTAATTTCTGTCGTAGTGGACTGGTTTTATAATTTTTTATGTATTTCCAAAAGTTGCGTATATTTAACACGTATATGACATAATTATACAAAAAATTTTTTAATCATAATACTATATTTCTATTTTGCATAAAATTATATACATTTCTTTCTACATTTTTAATTTAAAAAAAGCTTAGATACATCGAAAATTATTACTTGAATTACGTGAAAAACATTATAAACCTATAAAAGCTTGCAAATGTATTCGTTGAATAGGTTGATGATCAGATTAAAATAAGACATGAACGCGGCGTTTTGGATCTTCTTTTGGGAAGGTTCCGGACTTGTGGTGCTTGCTGTAAGTAACATTATTACGATATAAATATATAACTATTAAATAGCATGATATAAATAATAAAAAGAAAATTTAAAAGCGTTAAAATTTAAACAATTCTATACTTAATGTAAATAATTTATTATAAATAACTAAATTATTGATATCATATAATGAGCAATCTATTATTTAAATAGTAACAGAAGAAGAAAAACAATTCTAGCAAACTATTAAACTTACTGATTCTTGTTATAATTTATAAATATAATCTTAACTATTATCTCTAAACTACTTTTTATCTATTTTTTATCGTACAAGACATGTCAAATACAGATATTTTAAAATTATAACTACTTTTTCAGAAATTGTATAATATAACAATAATTTATAACAGCTTATTATGTACTACTACAAGAAACGTTAATGTTCGCCCGCATTTACGAGGAAACTTCATAATACCATTTCAATTCACCATATTTCTTCAATCTTTAACAAAATGAAATAGTTGAGCTATGCTAATTACAGATATTAACTAAATAATACAACTAAGTAATACATTATGTAAAACATGGAAAACGTATAAGTATTACAATAGTCAATATTTTAATTGAGGAGCACAACAAATATCAATAAGATTCCCATTGTGTTAAACATTATTACTATTGTGTGTTAAATGTTATGTCTTTTATTAAAAATATGTTTTTTTTAACTATATGTGTGTGTGTGTGTGTGTGTGTGTGTGTGTGTGTGTGTGTGTGTGTGTGTGTATATAAATGTATACATACATATACACATATATATAATTTTCTTAAATCATTTCTTGTACATTTTCCTTCTTTGATCTAATTATATATATATAAATATTCGATATAAAATATTTTTTATACATTTGTAGTATGCGGTCGACCAAATCGTAAGGCAGCGCGGTTATTGGGTGGTGAATATACAGAATCGCATGAATTTCCCTGGCTCGCAAATATTCACATAAAGTCCAAATTGCTAGTGAGTGGAGTATTGATAAATGATCGTTATGTCTTAACAGCAGCTAGTCAACTTATCGGGTTAGTATAGAATGAAATCAGCATTATTAGTAATAGTAGAAAAGACTGTAATTGTAAGATACTCTGTATAATTAATATTTTTCTCGGCAGAACAACAGCACATGAAATAAAAGCATCTTTGGGAGAATATGATCGATGTAATTTAGATATCTCATCAGTAAACATTAGCGTCGAATCTATAACTTTGCATCCAGAATTCAATCCGGAGTCGAGTACTCATGACCTAGCTTTAATTCGTTTGAGTCGACCAACTAAAATCGAGAAGAGAATATCACCGATATGCTTACCCAATCCAGGTTTGTTTCTTTTTATAACTCGTAACATAATAGGTACATCTATTATAAATATGATAATAAGAGATAAGACTGTATAGCTAAATTTTCTTTTCTGAATTCCAGGATCAACTTATCTTGGTCAAGTTGGAACTTTAGTAGGATGGACCAAGCACAAAGATCAGGCTGATAATGCGGCATGTAGGCCTCGAAAATTAGGACTTCCTATTCTAGGGCAAAAAGAGTGTATTAAATCAGGAATAAATGCAATGAACTTACACGATGATTATGGATGCATCGGAATTGTGGGCACAAATTCTTTGGTGTGCGAAGTAAGTGAATATATGTCATATTATGATTTTACAATATAGTGATATATAATGAAATTTTAAAATTTATAAAATATGTTATAAGTATTTAAACTTGAAAAATTTTTTTATTTTAAATGAAAGCGAAATTCTCTATCATTATTTGAAAACAAAGAATTTATCAAAAATTATACATCATTTACAATTATGTATCATAATAATGTTGCATATTTATAGAATGACGTCGGATCTTCTGTGCAATATCGATCATATTCCGGAATTTATGACCTTATTGGTAAATATGATCATTTGTAAAACTAAAATCGATTTAATATTTAAAAGTGGTTAAAAAAATTGAGTTAAGGAAAAATGTATCTTATTTAAAGATAAATTATTAATTCTTAAAGTAAAAGAAATATATTACTAACAAAATACATATGTATATTGTATGTATTATAGGAATTATTCCAAGCGTGAATAAATGCGACGATTCTCCTAAGCCAACTGTTTTTACGAGAGTAGGATCGAGTCTCGACTGGATATTACAACATACTAAAGATGCCTGCTACTGTACAAAATAATACAAGCAAACTTACAGTAAATCTACGAGAATACCATTGCATATGTGATACTAATAATTATTTTATTGTTGTTATTTTTACTGCTATATATGTTGCATTTTAAAAAGCACAAAATAATATTAAATGTTAAGTGAACAAAGCATTATATAAAATGCATATATGTATCTACACATTTTGTTATTACATACACGTATAAAAATATGAAAATTGTAACATATTAAACGAATGTATACTTTTTGAAATAAAAATATTTTTATTGCATTATAAGATATAAGCTGTAAAATGTAAACTATATATTTTAAAATAATTTTGAAATTATATCAGGTAGTAAACATTGAATTTTATAATGTTCAAACATTTTCAGACTAAATAATTCGTTACTTCTCAGTAGGAAAACATTGTAAATCTTAAGTATTACCTTATCTAAAAACTATTGGCGAGTTAAACCACATCCGTTCTTTAGTATTCTCGCACATCGAAATATTAGTCATTAAAATATATTTTACACTGTGCATTAAGTGTAGCACACGTCAGTTCAATAAAACACGTCTTACAGTGAAAATTATAAATTCTTCTTAATGTTACTCATAGAGTATTTCATATTAATTAATTTATTGTATCTAACAGTTAGACATGTTAATACGTTACCGTGGTACAAACGAGTTCATGGACATACTGATAGATTTCACGAAAATTCTGAATATTGCGGTAAGATTAGTCTTCTCATCTTAAATAATTTCATGCAACTTCGCATGTAATGACAAAAGGAAAAGTAATAAAACCTCTAAATTAAATATTAAATCGTTAATAAATGTTATACATATCGTTGTTCTTATAAAAATTATTTAATAATATTATTTTCACTTGTATATCCATAGTAATCGAAACAAAATGAATAAAATATTTATCTAATATTATACGATATTTTATGTACATGTAAGGAAAGAAATTCAAGTTATCAAAAATTATATAAAATTAAATATTAGAAAAATATTCATTTTGTTTTTATGATCATTATGCTTTAGAATGCGGAAAAAAAACTACTTCATCGTTGTCTAGAATAATTGGAGGGCGAGAAGTTTTTGAAAACGAATTTCCCTGGATGGCTGGTATTATAAGTGTCAATAAATCACAAGTAATCTGCGGAGCATCAATCATAAACGATCGTTATGTAATAACTGCAGCCCACTGTAATATTTATGGGTACGTACAATTTATAATGTGAAAAAACATCATCACTTCTTATGGTGATTTTTAAATGAAAAAATAAGTTTTAAAAAGGTGTATACTTTTGTACTAACAAAGTAGATACTATATTAAAACTATCATACATATTAAAATTATTTATAACGTTATTATTGATTACTTTGTAAAATAACTATGAAGAATACATTAAGAAGCGCCAATAACGGTCTGAACGTTAAGATGTTGAACTATTTTAAATTCATTTTTAAATGAATTAATTTTCAGAAATTATAATTGCGTGCCGATATGGTTGTCGGACTTTCAATCTTATTATTATAACTATGAAGATTTTGATAAAACTTTTTTATGAATTTTTTTAAATAAAAAATTTAAATGAAAATTTAAATTTACATAAAAATAAATTTTATGTAGTAAATAATTATTTGGATAAAAATAAAAGAGAGAGAAAAAAAGAAAAAAGAGAGAATAACAATATTACATAACAATGTGTGAATAAAAGATCATCTATAAATTTACTATTCTTATTATGTTATTCTTACGGACATATTTATTTAAAATAGTTCTTTAATAAAATTTAATTCACATAAAAAATTTATTTTCTTCATAATAATGTTTACGTAAAGACTATATAAATTTGTAAGTAAAATATGTAAAGTTATATTTTATAATTTTAGCAAAGATGATCTAAAAGTATCTGTCGGCGCTCATAATTCATGCAAATGGGATGCAAAAAGCATAATCTTTTCTGTTAAGAATATTCTCCCACATCCAGATTACAATAGAAACACAAATTTCGCCGATATCATGCTTGTAAAATTAATTATGAGGATTACCTTCAACAAACTTGTTAGACCGATTTGTTTACCAAAACTCGGTAATTTCTATAATTATTTTGTGTACAATATTTGTATATTAGTAGACGTAAAGATTTGCAACAGATTTGACCAAATAAAATTCTTAATAATTATTTAGCATTTTTTATGCAGAACTTGATGCAGCCTCTCAATACGAAGGACAATCCGTATCTGCACTTGGCTGGGGATTCTCAGAAAATGAATTTTTATTTAATACAGACTGTAGTTTACGTGTTGTAGATTTAACATTATTTAAGAGATCGGAATGTCCTACTAATGTCTCAACTTTGCTTTGCGCAGGATATAAAGAAGCACCACGAGGCACTTGTGGGGTATTCTCAAATATTTATAACATTTTCTCTTACATATAATTTATTATTTATTCTTGTGTTAAAATTATGAATCATTTTCATGAAATTATAACTATATATATATATATATATATATGTGCATGTCTAATCTGTTTCTAAACACATAAATAATTTTTTTTAAATGTTTTAAGTCATTAACTAAAGCTATTGATTTTAAATTATACGTTCAATTTTTTTACAACAGCCTATTCTTAACCATTACAAGACGGGAAAGCTACTGTAATGGCGCTGAAATAGTGCCATATTTTGAGCCATATAATGAAATAATAAATTATAACAAATCTCAAGTTTCAATAAAAAATATGTTCTATTATAAAAGTATCAATATGTACGAATAAATTCAAATTATAAATTTACAGAACCGATTTTAGCAATCATCAATACTTAATTTTTCGTATAATTTGTTTATTATTATCATGTTCATATCATTATCATGTCATAAAATACATTAAGGGGTACAACAATATAAAATAACTTAAATAAAATGTTATAAATATTACAAATTTACTTAATATACAGGGTGATAGCGGCGGTCCTCTTCAAATTTTGGATGAGAATTATAAGTACATCTTGATAGGTGAGTTGTAATATATAAAGTCAATAACTTAACAACAGAGAATTAACAAAATTTATTTTAGGAATTACTTCAAGCGGACTACTATGTGCTGACGTTGACTATCCAGATTTCTATACGGATGTTACACAAATGATGTCATGGATATTGCAAGTAACAAAACATGATTTCAAGTACTGTTGGCATTGGTATGATTGAAATATCTAAACCTTCTAAATCATATACATATATATATAGAGAGGAATGTCGTGTGAGAACAACGGATTTGTATCCGAAATCGCAAGTCCAAATCCCGCACACACATCCCGTATATACAGAAAAATTTCGTAATCCCTACTAACTTAGCGGAAGTCGCAAACAAATTCTTTAAATCTGGTGACTCTTTGACTAAGTTCAGACATGCAAAGACTGATATGATTCTACTCAATACCCCATTACTATCACTGTTAAATCATATCTATAATTAAATAATTATTGAAACAATTTATCAATAAAATAAATAAAAGAATAGACAAATGTTATATCATTTATTTTACAATGTATGATTTGTAATATAAAAAGGAATCAGCGCAGTACATAAATTTGTAAAATAATTTACGCATTGTGTATAACGTTAATTCCTAACCTATCATTTTTGAATTATTGGACATTTTATAGAGAAGAGATTTGTGGTATAGATATTCTTATGAATTTATTAATACTGAAGTGTGGACAATTTACGATTTTCTCACGATGCATTTAACATTTATCAGCTGTTACGCCACATAAAACGTTGTTGACCGAATTGTCCATAACTCGTAAACTATAATGCTCGTCTATACTTGACTGTCGACATGAACGATACGGTATCTGCAGAGCCGTACTGATATCTGTGCCGAGGCAAGAGAATGGCGACTAACCAATGAAAGTTTAATGTTCAATAAATGTTCAATTACCTTCAATGGCCATGATATTTGCATTAAAGTTACATCTAACAATAAGACAATAATGGTGTTTTTAAAATTGTCATTTTTTTATACTTGATTTATGATGTAATTATGCGATTATTCATTATTAATAAACTTCTTTACTGTCCTATGCTCTCTTTTCAGATTTAAGCATAATAAAGAGAACAGCTATTTTCTGATTTTTCCCTTTTTTTATTGAGAACGCAAGTTCTCAAATCGTCTTCTTTCTTCTCCATGCACCGACTTTAGTCACAGACACAATTGCTATAGGAAATCCTTATAAGAATTTATCGCCCATATACCACTCTAATATCTTTCCCGCCTCTCCGAAAGTAATTTATAACACTTTCGAGGTGAGAAAAAGCAGCGACCTGTAAAATCTGCCGACCTATTCTGAACAGGATAAAGTACATTCTTCACATGAAAAATAAAATTTAACAATTGAATATGTATAATGGTAACATTAATTAATTATAATAATATGGTATTTGTAAAATATATATCAACAAATAAAAATCAATTTTTTCAATTTTTGTAAAACTTCTAATATTTTTAAAACTATATATGATCTTTTATATCCTGAAATCTACATTTTGATTTTGTATTTAATTCGGGTCCTAGAAATTGATGGCGTATTTTGTATTGCACAATCATTCGTTGGAATTTATCGTCCACGTATTAATGGGAATAGCGCAATTTATTGGAACACGCTCCCCGAGATATAAAATGTCGACGAGGTGATACGCTCAATAATGATGCAGCATCGAAATTGGTTATCGTTGTTCGCGGTTCGATATAGAACAAAGTGTTCTCTGTGTTGCGCTCAGTAATCGCTCCGTATTGTTTTCAGAAGGTGAAATCTTAACAGGAGTCGCGAATCATGAAGCCCCACTTGATCCTGATGACTGTAATCGGCATTCTTCTGATCCTAGACGTTGGTTGAGAGAGTAATTAAATAAAGTTATCACAAAAACAAGTCAGAAACGTGGCTGTTAACTAGTTATAAATAATTGTATTGTGCTCATTTTCAGGCGGCACACGCGCAAAAGCATCGCCTACGAATAAATCGAGATTGTGGTAAATTAAGACACATTGAAATTATTATCATATATGTGTGTACGTAACAAAGTTTATAGCATGAAAATCATATAACCATCAATATTATATATTGCTTTTTTCTGGAGTAATCTGTTAGATTTAGTGAGCATTTACATTTAATTTGATTAATTTCACATTGATCGTATTTTTATTCGTACTGTTATAAAAGTAATCATACAAATAAACTGAAACAATATGAAATTATACGTATGTACAGGCTGTATATACAAAAAGAATGATTTGCTGAAGTATTTTAAAAGTTATCCAAATATAGTGCTGAAAATAATTTCGTTCAGCTAAAATAATTATGTAGGACGCTCGAGCTAGAATATCAAAACTTTTTGCAACATTAGTCATTATGCTAAAGTTTTCTACATAATTATTTTAATGATTTAACAAAATTATTCTCAGAACTGTATCTAATCTAAATTTTTAGATACTTCAATAAAATTGTTTTTTCATATATTATATTATAAAAGAATTAAGAGTTGACAAAAAAGATTTCAATCAAATTTTCTACAAAAATATAAATATTAAATTTTCTATAAAAACATATTATACACACAAGATATTTAATTATATTTTACTATATTTTATCTATTTGTTGTGTGTCTACAGAATATAAAGTTTTAATTAATTTAAGAAATTTTCTTATAACAGAATGTGGACTGACAGGAGGGATATCGAATCGTATTGTCGGCGGAAAAATAACGATTCCGCATATATTTCCTTGGGTCGTGGCAATACTTAACAAAGACAGCCTCCATTGTGGAGGCACATTAATTAATAATCAATATGTATTAACAGCTGGACATTGTGTTCAATGGTATCTTATCAATTTTTTTTTAAAAGATTAAAGATTTAATATAATACTCTTTTTAAAAAGGTCACGTGTGATATTAAAGTCAATGACTGATTGATAATAAATAAAAGTAAATAAATAAATAATAATCTAAATCTAAATTTTAATTTGCAACTTCAAAGATATTAGAGTTTTCATATAAATATTTATAATAATATTATCGACAAAATATAATAAATTTGATAAAAAATATACTGTTATAGATTATTATAAAATATTATTTTAATTATATATATTTTTTGCGAAACAAGTATACTTCATTACAATATATCATAAAATATTCTGATTTTTATATCTTCTTGCGATTTACATAGGACGAATCAAGCCGATCTCTCGGTGGGCGTAGGTATGCACGATATTGAAGATCCAAGTGATGGATATATAGCTGCAATCGATGAAATAATTTTACATGAAGATTTCGAGAGTGATTATCTCCATGATACAAACGACATTGCCTTGATTCGACTGCAGCATCCGGTTAAAATCGATGAAAACGTGAGACCTGCATGTCTTCCACATAAAGGTCAACTTCATACTCTTTTCGTAATATTTAAGTTGTTCCATTTAATTAAAAGTAAATATTAATTTATAAGACACTTAAAATTAAAGTTTAAGTTAAGGTACTTGTTTACATCTATCTTATATTTTACACATATATGTCAGCATTTTTTAAACATAAAAAGAAGTAATATAAATAAATTTTCAATGATAGGTTCTGATTATACGGAACAGTATGTCAAAGTTACCGGATGGGGACGTGTCCAAGTGAAAGGACCACCTTCCCAATTTCTTCGTCAAGCCACTCTGAAAGTAATGTCCTTCGCAGCATGTAAGAATACTTCATTTGGCGATCACATCACGGAATCGATGATGTGTGCTTACAATGACAATACTGATGCATGTCAGGTATTATATCATGATCAGTTTAATTTTTCAATGTATTTTGGAATCAAAATATTGAACATCTTTTTTTATATATCATTAAAGATATTAATTTTCTATAAGTCTTCTTTTTCTGTATTTTCGATAGTTTATGTTGCATAAGTAATTTATAAACGAATAAATATATTTAAGATATCTATAATATACGTATAATAAACCAAATATAAAATATAATACTAACAAATATAAAAAGGAGAATCATTAAACACATCTATTTCTTTAACAAATATATGAATACATACGTTTAAAAGATATTATATTATAATATCTATCATTAAAATTTCAGGGTGACAGTGGTGGACCTCTTCTATATCAAAGAATAGATGGGAAATATGAAGTAGTTGGTAAGAATACCATCAAATTGAATATAAATTGTCGATCAGAAAGATTATCTCGTAAAACGACCATAAATTATGAACAGAATTTATGTCTTACTTTTTTGAGATTTCCTGTAGCTTATAGGATATTTTCTTTATTATTATTCTAACAGGTATAGTCTCTTGGGGTATTGGATGCGCTGATCCTGGAATTCCAGGTGTATACGTGAAAAACTCGGATTATCTAAACTGGATAAAGTACCATAGCAGAGATGGTATTTTCTGCGTGGATAGATAGGTTTCCATTTAACGAATATTAAAAAATAAATATAAATTTAATAAATTTAATAAATAAACTAAATTTTAGTTATCTTAATATAAATATTAATTGTGTGTGTGGATATAGATTTTTCCACAGATCAACATTTCATGAAATAAATATATTTGGATTATAAACCTTATGAAAAATTATGCTATTTATTATTAAAACAATTGTTCCAAATATGTTATATGTAATTACATATATAATCGCTTACATTCACACTAGATTCACAATTACAATACCTTATCCATATACATTTAACCCAATAGTTTTCTGACACATGATAAGCTCAATATTATCACGTACGTAATATCACTGAGTATTTCACTACAGATATGCACACAAACTGTAACAATCACAATTCTTTTTACGTCGTTAAAACTGTTCGATCTGTAGTGAGTGTTTTCATCTATACAATTACTATTATTGCATTAGCGATAACGTTTCGATTGTTTAATGAAACAGAACTGATTAAAGTGCATGTGTCAACATTATTATGATCAATAGCTTTGTCAGGCTTTTGTAACGTTGTTTTAAAAGAAATAGGGATTCGTATAATAGCTTATATTTTCTATTGTAGTTATGTATCTATAATTAAATATCAAAAGACATGATTTCAATTCTAAACAACATAAACATGATGAAAAGCCAGTCATATTCATGTTATTATCTATCAACAGACATACCGCTAATCTATTTTTATATTTTCAATTAAATTATTTCAAGAATTAGTGCTCAATAGAAAGATTTAACAATATTGTGATATAACATCAATATGTGCTTTTATTGTAATTAATTCGATGGTAAACAGAATTCTAATACCTCGAAATATATATATATATATAATACTAATAATACTAACGAAGCACAATGCAAGCTACGAGTATCTTTCTTTAACTATATTGCTCCTATTATTCGTATAATTATTGAGTTTTTATTGTATTAAAGTAATTTTATTATTGTTTCATTATTTAAAAGTAATTTAAACATAATTATTTATTTATTTTTGTCACATTACAATTATCATTTTTTTATTCGTCAATGTACCATGTAATTATTCGATCACAAGATTTAATACTTAATACTTTAATTTAATACTTACAACGTAATCTACAAACCTGTCTATATCTAAAACATGATTATAAGGAACATACATAAAAACATATACATAGGAATATAATAGTCGTCGAAATACGTAAAGAATTAAATCATACATAAATGGGTGGCAATTTGAGAAAGATCCTGTATATACATTCTGTGCATTTTAAAATACTTTGTAATTTGTTATAACATTGACTTTAACATTAAAATAATAATAAGACACGTATATATAAATGTATAAGTGAAGACTATACATATATGAACTTCGTCATTAATCTTTATCTTCATGTATTGGATAGAATTAATATGAAAATATTTATTTAAATATATTTAATTAAGCGCGCGCGCGCGCGCTAATTTATTTACTTATATAATTTATATATGTTAAATATAATAAACAATATACATATAATTATATTTATTTTTATATTATATGTATACAAAAATCATATATATATATATTATAAATTGCATGTAAAAACTTACAAGATTAGCAATAAATTTTAATTGAATATAATTGGACGGTTTTTTCGCGAGAGAATATATAGCGTTAATTAAAAAATATTAATACGATAACTTCATAATTAATTCTTTTAACAGAAATTCACACACAAGATTTAAAATTATTCGTTATAGAAATTATAGTGCGTATTTAAAATCGCACAAATTTTATTCTTGAAAGTAAAAAAGCAAAATAATTGTAATCATAAAAGTATAATAATTATATAACAGTAATATATATAACTTTTAGATGATAAAATGAAAAATACAATATATTACGGTAAAAACTTAAAAATATGATAGACAAGTTGAGTTTAGATTTACAAGAAATTTTTTTATGTAAAAATGAATTGAGATGGTTGAACAAAAAACAATGAAAAAGTATTTGTAAATACATCGGTTTAAAGCTGTGTATACAAAAGTTACAAAACCAAGTCAAATATCTCAGTTAAATATGCGTTTAATATCTAAAACAGATAATTAATAAGAACACAATAAAAGATATTTGTAAAAGAAAATACAATACACAATTCTAGCTGTACTGAGAAACTTCTTAAAAAGAAGAGAACGAAAATTTGCATATTATTTTGTTTTCAGATGTTGTGGAAGGCGAAATAACATATCAATAAATTTTTCGGCGACATGCATGCAATTGTTTTCTCACGCGTAATCACTTATTGTTATACTGTATTATTGATATTTCTTTTTAATTATATGTGTCGCCATAACTAGATCCGCATTCAAGCACCTGAAATTGATGGATTAAAGAAGTTTATTGTAAAACTTCATGAAATTTTTCGCTTCATATACTAAAGAATTGATGACAATAACATAAGTAACATAAAACAATTAGATTAATTTGTATTTTTTTAATTCCGACACAGTATGTAACATGAATATAATACAAAATAAAGTAAAATATAAATATATCGATAAGAAGTCGTGTACTACCTCAAATGATTATATTAAATTAATTATAAAATTCAAGCTACCTTTAACTTTCTATATATCATTAAAATAATTAACAATTAGTTATAATTAATAGATTGTCTGAATACTGAGATTTGTATTAATGATTAACGTCATGTTTAATGTGTCATGTTTAGTCTTTAGTCAAAATGTCGTGTGATATTTTTTCTTGAATTGTTAAATTTAAAATATATATAACATACATGTTTCCTTAGTTTTATATCTAGTGTACTTAAAATTTAAATATCCATAAATAAGACTTTATTAAAAGACCAAAAAATATAACATATTAGACATCATTAATTACCAAACATTCCATGTTTTACTTCATAATTGTAATTTGTAAATTTATGAAAATAAAAAATTTTTTCGAACTCTTTAATGCGTTAGTACAACCAAATATACAGAGAACAAATTTTGCAAGTATCTGCTATAAATTTGACGGCAGAAACGTTACAGATCTGACACATATATATGTAATAATGTTGACAAAATACTGGCAGAAATGTAGCAAATTTCATCAATAAATTATAATAGTAAAATATATTAATGATAAAAATCAAGCTAACTTTAACATACTTTCTATATATAGATTAATGGCAGAAATAGAGCAGAATTTATGTTTTTGCCGATAATTTGCTGTCTCGTTATGTCAGTAGGCTTTATCAACATAACATGAACTTAATGCAGACATAATTAATATAAATTTGCTAGTAATTTTCGTTTACTAAATACCTATTAACTTTAATAAGTTTTATATGTTGCAAATCATATGTTTAACTCGATACAACGTAAATTAAAAATATAATTACATTTTCCAATATAATATTAAACGTTTTATCATATTTATCATTATTCATAATTTTTACTATGACGAATCATTTCGATGCTAAAATATAAAATTTTTAGAAAATTAAATAATATGCTGAAAATATATGCTTAAATACAAAATATATTACACTTGTTATACTATAATACAGACATTATAAAATTTATGATACTCGCATTAATATATGACATGAGTAACATTAGCATTACATTGCGAGGTAACAGCTTCTTCAAGTGTACAATCCAGTTTTCGATAGCTTGCTGTACTCGGTCGTCGTCTACCACGATTACTTCTTGATCTTCGACCCTCTAATACAATAGCAAGTATCTGGAAGAAAAAATTACTTTCTATATAAAATAAAACATAAATGTCAAATAAAAGTGCATAAATTAAACTAACCTTTTGTTTATTATGATAACCTATGTATCCAGCAAGACAAGCCAAAATAATCACAGTAAAATAAGTAAAGAAATGAGAATCATCTTCCGTTCTCATAGTAGAGTATTCCGTTAATCTAGCATTATTATTCTTCTGTTCAAAGGCTCCTTGCACATTTTCATTTTGATTCCCTTTCAGAAAACATAAATATATATATAAATATGTAAATATAATTATATAATAGAATTCATTATATATAATACAAAAAATGTGTTACCTGTATCTGGATGTTGAATTGTATCATCTACATCTGAAAATTACGCAAACATAATTTATTTATTTATTTATTTATAGAGGAAGGTCACCGATACCGACATACCACTTTGTTTTTAGACAATATTTCTTAAACAAAAGGTAAAAATACAATTTCAAAAACATAAATACAAACTAAAAAGTGTTTTCTATCAGATAGTGTAAGCAGTTCTTATAATACTGTTTGCAATTTTGCAATAATTAAGTTTTTCGTAAGTTATGCAAAAATGAGCATCTGACAAAATGGGCTCCAAAATTGACATAGTAGGCAATAATGCCAACATTCCTATTCTATAAATAAAGATATGTCCTATATTCTGTAAGAAAAACTAATTTAAGAAACTATAACATTTAAAATGACATAATATTATCAATAATACAGTCACTGTTATTTTAATTACGCAATTTGCAAAAGAACACTGTAAGAATTTTCTTCTCGGATTCATAGAGTTTATTTTTAGCTGATTTGGTATAGAAATAAGCCACAAATATATGAAAATTATGAGTTTGTACTTTTTTAATTAGCTAAACAGATAACATTTTTATTAATATTAATAAGGTGCAAAGGTTAGTTTCTAAGAAATAAGGGGATGTTGCTTTAGGAGACCTATGTCAGTATCGGTGACCTTCCTCTAAATATAATAATTGCATTTGTTAATAATAAATTAGGCAGTTATTTTTATGGAGAAATGGGTAGTGCAGAGCAGCTGAGATGAATGAACTTAAGATTCTATAGGAAACAAGTTCGACGGATATAAATATAACGTATATATAAATTTCATCGCCGTGACGTTGTTATCATTGTCGTCATCAATAAAAAGTAATACAGAATATAAAATTTTGAATAAAAATGCAAAGATCCAATTTATTTTTATTATATTTATTCAAAATCATCTGCATATATTTTAAAGAAT